AAATGTTCAAATATTTTTTGTGGATGGAGTTGTACATACGAAAGAGGAATAGACAATTTTTACAACGGAGTGTTTTTCTGCGAAGAATGTGAGCAACCTATGCATATAGTTGACAACGAACAAGAAGAAAGAAGAAAGATATTAAAAATAAGAAACCAGTTAAAACCTTTAAAAAAATTATTAATAGAATTGAAAAAAACTTATTTTAGTATTGAGGATTATCCAATATTTCTTATTGAAAAACAACAAACAATCCAAGAAGACAACAAAAAAAGTATCAAAGAAAAACATTCAAAAATTATTGTTAATGAACCAATGCCATGGGAACAAGAAGACAATACTCAAGAAACAAACAAAGAAAGTCATGTAGGTATTGACAAAAATAAAGAGGAAGAGTTTAATATTTATGAAAATATTCAATGGGAACAACCTATTTTTTTAAAGGAAACAAAACTATTTTTTGAGAAAACTTTTATAAAAGATTCTCCATTAACAAGAGAGAAAGTACCTCGTACACCACGTTTAATATGCAACAATAGAAAAAAGGTAAGAAAAAGTAGGTCATTAATGTCAGTAGATAGAAAGAAAGTTTTAATGTAAATGTAAGAAATACCAAGTTGTTTGTGCCAATCTTTGTGTAAAAAAGAAAATTTTGGTTTTCATGTTTTTTTAATGAAAGAAAAAATGAGAATAAAAGAAAAAAGAAAAGAACTAAAATTGAGTTAAATAACTACTTTAAAAATGAATTGCCCTTTGGAATATTATCCAAAAGAGCATAATACGAGTGGAACAATTCACCAATTACTTCTTTGTAAAAAAAAGGAGTTAATTGAAGTATATATTGATGAATATCCTGAAAGTATTTTTGAGAAAGATAAACATGGAACGAGTTTGATTGGGAATTGTGTGTCTATTGGGAATGAAGAATGTTTAAAAATGTTAATTAAAAGAGGATGTAAAATGAATGAAAAAAATAATAAAGGAATAACCCCATTGTTTGTTGCACTTCATAAAGGAAAAAAAAAGATTATTGAATTACTTGAAGAAGGCATGAAATTAAATTGGACATCAGTTGAATTGATTCAAAGAGATGTTAAAGGATTTTGTATCATGCATTATTTAGCACAAACAAATTATTTACTAGAATGGTATAAAAAATATAAACTAAATCGATTTATTGAAGATCAAGTTAATGTATATAAAGCAACTCCATTATTTATTGCTGCTCAATATAAAAACAGTAAAGCAATAAATGAATTATTAACACTTGGTGCTAGTCCAATGAAACCTAATATTTATGGTCAAATACCACTTATGATTTCATTAGAAAAAGGAGATATTGAAAGTATTAGATTATTATTTAAAGGATTAACCAATAATGCATATTCTGATAAAAAAGGAAGACAATTAATTCATTATGCAATTAAAAGTCATAAAATTGAAATTGTTGGTGAATTACTTAAACTATATGGATATCAAGAGAACAGTGTTATTTGTTTACAAAATTGTTTATATGAAATTCAAGAAAGTGGTAAGTTTAATGGATTTAATGAGTTAATGAAAAAAGAACTTCATCAAATGGAAATTGATTTTAATAAACAAAATCTTTGTGATAATGATGGATTTCATTTAATTTATTATACCATTTATTATGACTTTCCTGAATTAATACAATTAATATGTATTTGGGATAAGGAAGCATTAAAAAGAAGAATTTATAATGGATGGACACCTCTATTATATGCAAGTAGTTTTGGAAGGAAGTCATGTTTATTAACAATAATAAAAATTCTAGGTAAAAATTGTTTATTAGATAAAGGGAATGAAGGAGAAAATGCATTACAATTAGCTTGTTATTATAAACATTATGACATTGTCTCTGTTTTATTAGAACAAGAAATAGATTTAATTCATCAAGTAGATAATTATAAGAATAATATATTTCATTATACTGTGTCTGGAGGAGAACGTAATATTCTTAGAATGTTATATGATAAAATAAAAGAAAAGAGTATGATTAAAGAAATTAATAGTTATCAACAGAATGTACTTCATATAGGTAGTTTATCAGGATGCTCTTCTATAACTTTAGAATTAATAAATAAATATAGTGTTAACCCTCAACAAATAGATCAATATGGGAATAGTCCATTTCATTATGCCGTTCTAGCTAATAATTCAGATACATTTTTGGTTAATTTATTGAAAAGGTATTACGCTGATATTCCTCAAGATCATCTTAAAAGGACACCTTTACATATTGCTTGTTGTTGTGGAAATTCTTATATTATTCCAGTACTTATTAAAAAATATCCATCTTGTATTAATACTCAAGACTCATTCCTTAAAACTCCACTTCATTATGCAGTAGCAATGAATCACCCTGAGTGTGTTGATATTTTAATACAAAACCATTGTAATACAACTATCATTGATTCAAAAGGAAAAAGAGCGATTGAATATGCACAATGTAGTTATTGTATTTGTCGTTTATTAAATAGAGATCCTCTTTGTATTAAAAAGTATATTATTACTGAAAGAGATAAAGAGTCAATGAACATTTTTTCTGTTGGAACAATTGTACGAGTTGTGTTTCAAAATAATAATAACCAAATGTTCATTTTATATGAAAATAAATTAACACAAATTCATTTAATAAGTTATAAAAAAATTCCTTTAAATCCAACAGAGAAACAACAACTTCTTCAATTATCACATCAATTTAAAATTAATTTAGTGTTTTAATTCTCCATTAATTTCATTAATAAAATTAAAATAAATTTTATATTGTTCTTCATCTATTTTATTTATTTTCAATTCTTCTAAGTGTATTTCTATTTCTTTATCACTTTGATGTTCTAATATTTGTTTAGTAACAATATCAAAAACCATTTGTTTTCTGTCTGGATATCTTTTAAAATAATCTTTGATTTCTTCAAATGTTAATGGTTGTGTTTGTGTATTTATTTTGTTTTGATAACTCATTGTTAACTAGTTTTAAGCACTTCAAGAAAAAAAAAACATCTAGAAAATAATTCTTTGAGTTTTTAATATTCAGTATCTTCTCTTCTTTAATTTTTAACTTATTATAAAAAACAACGTTCTTGAATTGTGGTTATTTGTAATGTCTTACTTAATGCACACAATACAATGTCATATGATTGGAGAATGGTAAAGTCATTTAGATGTGTCTGCCATAGCACTTACTAATCATCAATAGTTGTATAAAAGAAATAAATATAATAAATATATAATACATTTATTAAACATTATGAATACAATTCTTCAAAAGAAAAAACGTACGTGTCAATGTGAGAACGTGGCAATGACGTATAACATAAAGAAGCAATAAAAGAGGGTTTAGACAGAACTTCAGTAGATTGATTTATATGCCTATTGCAGTTGGAATTGATATTGGAAATAGAAATATTACTGTTGCAGTAGTACGTAAGAAAGGAATTGATATTGTTGTTAATGAAGTCTCTAATAGACAAACCCCAACATTTGTATCATTTAATGATAAAGAAAGAGCTATTGGAGAAGCTGGTTTTAGTTTGTATCTTAGAAATGTAAAAAATACAGTTGTAGATGTTAAAAGACTTATTGGAAGACAATATGACTGCCCAGACGTTCAAACAGAATTAAAAGAATTACCATATCAAACAGTTAAATTAGCAGATGGAATGATTGGAATGAAAGTGATGATGAGAGGAGAACAAAAAGTATTTAGACCAGAACAAATTATTGCAATGTTATTAATTCAAATTAAACAATTTACTGAAGAATATACTAAAGACATTTTTACTGATTGCGTTATTTCTGTTCCTGGTTATTTCACTGAAAATCAAAGAATTGCAATGTTAGATGCAGCTAAAATTGCTGGTATTTCATGTTTAAGATTAATGAATGAACATACTGCAACTGCATTAGCTTATGGTATTTATAAAACTGATTTAAGTGAAACTGAGCCACGTCCAGTTGTTATTTTAGATGTTGGACATTGTAATACTACCTGTTCAGTTATTTCTCTTCTTAAATCTAAAATGAAAGTTCTTGCTGTTGAATATAATTGGAAACTTGGAGGACGTAATTATGATGAAGCACTTGGACAATTTGTCAGAGCAGATATTCAACAAAAATGGAAAATTGATCCAATGAATAATTTAAGAATGTGGAATAGAATTTTATCAGGAATTGAAAAGTCTGTTAAGAGAGTTATTTCTAGTGGAAGTCCAAAAGCCATATTAAATCTTGATACTTTATATGAAGAAAGAGATTACCATATGGAATTCACTCGAGAAAAATTTGATGAATTAACTTCTCATCTTAATAATGAAATTATTGAACTTATAAAAAGAACTATTATAAAGGCTGGTATGACTATTGAACAAATTCATTCAATTGAAATTACTGGTTCTGGTACTAGATTAAATACTCTTCAAGATACTATAGTTAAGGCTCTTAATAAACCATTATCTAAAACAATTAATTGTGAAGAATCTATTGCACGTGGATGTGCTATTGCATGTGCAGAATTACAACCATATTTCAAAGTAAGAGATTATGTTGTTGAAGATATTCCACCATATGAAATTAATATGGGATTTAAGACTTATAATAAAACTGTTGCACCAATGAAATTTATTTCTAAAGATTCTTCATTCCCAATTACTAGAGTTCTTAAAATTAAAGATGCTAATGGTCTTCATGTAGATGTTAACTATAGTGATAATAATGTTTTCTTCCCAGGAACTTTAAATTCTGGAATTACTCTTGATGTTTTAGAATTACCAAAAGCACAAACAAAAACACCAGAATTAAAATTAAGAATTGCCTTAAATAAAAGTGGAATTTTAGAACTTGTAGATGCTTTATTATGTGAACAAGTAGAAGAAGAAGTAGAAGAAAAAGAAGTTATTGAAGTACCTGAAGAAGTTAAAGAAGAACCAAAAGCTCCTGTACAAGCTGAAACAGAAAAGAAAGAAGAACCAAAGAAAATGGAAGAAGAAAAACCAAAAGAAGAAAATAAAGTTAAAATGGTAAAGAAGACAATTACTAAAAAAGTAAGGAAAATGGTAAATAAAGAATATCCTGTTAAAGTTAATGTTCATAGTGTTGGTATGTGTGAAAAAGATATTGGTAAATATCTTGCTGAAGAAGCTCAAATGCAAGCTGATGATAAATTATTTATTGATACTGCTCATGCTAAAAACAATTTAGAAGCTTTTGTATATTCTATGAAAGATAAATTATTATTTGGTTGTTTAGCTGAATTCACAACTGAAGCAGAGGCTTCAAAAATTTCAAATGAATTAGAAAAATATGTTGATTGGTTGTATGAAGATGGAGAAAATGAAACAAAGAGTGTTTATTTGGCAAAACTTGCTGAGGCTGAAAAATTAGTTAAACATATTGTTGCAAAGAAAGAAGAGAAAGAAAGAAAAATTGCAGAAGAAAAAAGAAAGAGAGAAGAAGAAGAGAGAAAGAAAAAAGAAGAAGAAGAGAAAAAGAAAAAAGCAGAAGAAGAAGCTAAAAAGAAAGCAGAAGAGGAAAAGAAAAAGACTGAAGAAAAAACTGGTGCTTCAGAACCACCTCCAGTACCTAAATAACAAAATAATTTAATTGTTCGTGTTGGAGAAAATCTTTTTTTGTTTTAAGAAAAGAAATTAAAGTTATGAAAAAAAAGAAATTAAATTTGAAAGAGAATTAATGGAAGTAATTAATGAGAAAGAACAACAGAGTATCATATTTAC